ATGGAGGCGGGACTTCACATTGGACCCCGCCCACATGTCGACGTAAAACGTCCATGGTGGTCGCAGCTTTGATTTTTGCAATATTGTGTACTTCCCCTGACATCTTTCATGTTTACCGTGTTTGTGATTGAGTGACGTATTTTTGAGCAATTTTCCCTAATGTGATACATATTTATTGATTTGTACAGTGAACGAGAGATCGTGGAACATCAAATGAACTATGAACAAAGTTTTTCCTGAATCATTGTTTCAGCCAATTTTCATGCCATATCGAGCCCAGTAAGCGATCTGAAAAAAGCACTGGTCTCAGCAAAGGTTTCTTTGATAAATTCCTTTGAAAAGTTGACCTCCAAAGGTCATGTGGGCGGAGTCGGAAATTATATAGTGCTCTCATCACTGGTCCACGCAAATGCAATCCAACTGGGACGATTCCAATGGACATATCGACTTTTTTTTCTCATTGGCCCACCATTTCCACCAAGGGAGGGGTCACCAGTTCTGACTCATTTTTTTTCGAAAGCGTCCGGGGTATATCATGTCCTTCGTACCAGCTGTATTCCAAGAATTGTTGTCGCTTACCCGCTTCAACAACTGGTAGAGAATGGACTGGCAGCGCGCCAAACCCATCATTCCTGGCACGCCCCTTCATCTGCAGCGAACAGAACTGTAATGACTTACGTTGAATACACTGAACACGGCCGGAAACACTAACTGAGCCATAAAGTCGATTCGTTGAATGGTTGGACGTGTGTGCTGTAACGAAAGTGAGCGAATATTGAATTCATGAACAACTGAACTGAACGAAATGTGGCGTTACAAGCGATTTGGTTGCGCGAATTTGCTTTTGAAGTGAGCGGGAGACGGGCAAGAGAATCGTAAGATTGCTGCTGCGTCGCGCGCGGCAGTGGCGCGACGTTTCCTTTGTTTGCACTACTCTTTCGATTGAAGCATCGGATTTCATGTAGATAAGGACATGGTAGATAACTATATCTATTTTTGGTCATACATTGTCTATTCTTTACCAATACCACCTTGAATAGTCGTTACTAGGGGGAGTGACGTCGCATGCGACGTCCACTGGCGCGGGGGGAGGGGGGGGGGTGGGTCACGATTCTCTTGCCACATACACTTA